AAAACAGATATACCAAACCACAGTTCTCTAAAGATAAACCAAAACAAAAATGTTCCACTGTGGCTATACCAACCACTCTGTTGAAAACTGTTACCAACTGATTGGCTATCCTGCTCATTGGAAAGGTCCAAAAGGGCCTAGAAAACATCATGAACATGTGTCTGTTAACTCTGTTGTCACTGATTCAGTTCCTTCTGATATCTCCAATACTGACAATCTGTTCAATGAGTTTCTTGAGTTCAAAAAGTCCTATGCTAGCAAACAGGTGCCTGGTATTCTCAATCCTGCTCCTGTGGTTGCTACTGCTCATGTGATTCCTGACCAGTCAGGTACATTAGCTAACTCTATTTCTACTAACACTACTAACAAATCTGTCTGGATTCTTGATACTGGTGCATCTGATCATATGATATGTGATATTTCATTGTTTACATCTCCACCAACTCCTGTTTCTATACCTGTTAATCTCCCTACTGGACAAAAAGCTTGTGCATGCCATGTGGGACAGATTAATCTGGGACCTAATCTTGTGCTGCACAATGCTCTATTTGTTCCTTCATTTACCTTCAACCTTATATCCATTTCTAAACTAACATCCACTAATAACTGTGTGGTAAATTTTTGCTCCTCTCACTGTGTATTGCAGGACACAACATCCAACAGGATGATTGGTTTCTGCTAAAGCTAGCAATGGCTTATATTTTCTGAATTTGCCTAATTCTGATACTATAGCTTCTTGTAATAGCAGTACTTCTATTGATGTATCTTCTTCTGAATTGTGGCATCACAGACTAGGCCATCTGTCATATCATAAGCTGAATACTTTACCTCAATACTTGTAAACATCTTGTTTCTACACCCTGTGATGTGTGTCATTTCTCCAGGCAAAAGAAATTACCTTTTCAAATAAGCAATTCTACTGCATCTTGCATTTTTCAGCTTATTCACTGTGACATTTGGGGCCCTTTCTCTATTGCATCACATTCAGGCTTTAAATACTTTCTCACTATAGTAGATGATTATAGCAGATCTACATGGATTTACCCTTTATACTCTAAAGCTGACACAAAAAGTCATCTACTACATTTTCATAATCTTGTCAAAACTCAATTTCATGCATCCATGAAAACCATTAGAACAGACAATGGTACATAATTTTTCATGCATGATTTCTTTCATTCATTGGGTATTCAACATCAAACCTCTTGTGTTGAAACTCCCCAACAAAATGGCAGGGTTGAGAGAAAGCATCAGCACCTTTTAAATGTTGCTAGAGCCTTACTTTTTCATGCTCATTTACCTCTCAAATTTTGGATTGACTGCATATTAGCTGCTGCTCACATCATCAACAGAATCCCATCCATTACTTTACAAAACAAATCTCCCTTTGAACTTTTATACAACAAACCTCCAACCTATGATCACTTAAAAGTCATTGGTTGTTTGTGCTATGCATCTACCATTTCTACTCACAGAACAAAGTTTTACACAAGAGCATCCAAGTGCATTCTTCTTGGTTATCCGCTCGGTTGTAAAGGATATAGACTTTACAACCTGGAAACCAAGAAAATATTGATTTCCAAGAATGTGTCATTTTATGAATCTGTATTTCCTTTTAAACTCAACTCTTCCCCAGTTCAAAATGACTCCCTCTTTCCTATCCTAGATAGCTTTACTTATGATTCTCCTCCCCTTGCAGAAAACAATTCTTCTACCTCAGACAACACCACAATTCATAACAATCTCTTACCATCTATTCATCCTTCAGACAGCAGCACAGTTATGCCCCAAAATATCTCTCCATCTCATTCTTCACCACCTCATCAAACCAGAAAATCTACCAGAATCAGAAAACCTCCTTCCTATCTCAACATATACAATACCAATTTACAAGATAAGTCAAATCCTCCTCCAGCATCCTCTTCAAACTTCATCTCATCACAGATTGACACACCTGGAACATCACCTTATCCTATATCATCATATCTTTCCACTGAAAGGCTAAATTCTATTCATAAATGCTTTACTGCATCCATTTCAACTAATACTGAACCCAAATCTTATAAACAAGCTTCAACTGACCCATTATGGGTTGATGCTATGAACAAAGAAATTGAAGCTCTTGAGAAAACAAAAACTTTGGTTCTAACTGATCTTCCTCCTAACAAAAATTGTATTGGTTGCAAATGGGTGTTTAGAATCAAGTACAATTCTGATGGCTCAACAAGCAGGTACAAGGCCAGACTTGTAGCCAAAGGCTACACTCAAGAAGAAGGTTTGGATTACTTTGACACCTTTTCTCCAGTTGCCAAAATTACTACTGTTAGGACTTTACTTGCCATTGCTGCCATTAAAAATTGGAATTTACATCAACTTGATGTTAACAATGCATTTTTGCATGGTGAGTTAGATGAGGAAATTTACATGCACCCTCCCCCTGGTTACAAAACTGAAAATCCTTCACAAGTTTGCAAACTCACCAAAAGCCTTTATGGCTTAAAGCAAGCCTCTAGGCAGTGGTTTCATAAACTTACACATTCGTCTATTGCATTTTGGTTACACTCAGTCCTCTACTGATTGTTCTTTGTTTATAAAATCTGACAATGATTCCTTTACTGCTTTATTAGTCTATGTGGATGATATTATCCTTGCAGGTAATGATATGTCTGAGATATCCAAGGTAAAATCTCATCTAGACACTTGTTTTACCATCAAGGATCTAGGTCCTTTAAAATACATCCTAGGCATAGAAGTTGCTCAATCTGAAAAAGGAATCAATATTTGTCAAAGAAAATATGCTCTAGACATTTTACAAGATACTGGTTTTTTGGATTCTAAACCTGCCAATTCTCCTATGGACTCAAATTTAAAACTTACAGCTGCTTGTTCATCTGATTCTGAACTCATTGATGCTACCTCCTACAGAAAATTGATTGGGAGATTACTTTATTTAACTATAACCAGACCAGACTTGTCTTTTAGTATTCAGGCACTCAGCCAATTCATGAGTAAACCTACTCAGCAACACTTGACTGCAGCCCACAAGGTTCTAAGGTACATCAAAAACACTGCAGGCCAAGGTATATTCTATCCCAGACATTCTTCTTTACAGTTAAGAGGTTTCTCTGATAGTGATTGGGCTGGCTGCATTGATACTAGAAAGAGCATAACTGGTTATGCTTTCTTCATTGGCTCTTCCTTAATTTCTTGGAAATCTAAAAAGCAAGCAACTGTGAGTTGATCTTCAGCTGAGGCTGAATATAGGGCCTTAGCCACTGCCACCTGTGAGGCTCAATGGTTACTTTACCTTTTGCATGATTTACACATTCTTCACACTGTTCCTGTTGCATTGTTTTCAGATAGTAAGTCAGCTGTTGCTATTGCGAAAAACCCTATTCAGCATGAAAGGACAAAACATATTGAAATAGACTGTCATTTGATTAGAGAAAAACTTACCAATGGTGTTATCACCCTACAACACATTCCTTCTCAAAGTCAACTTGCAGATCTGCTAACTAAACCCTTGGGAGTTCAACCTTTCAAGGAAAATTTGTCCAAGATGAACATGTTGAATATACATGTCCCTCTTGCGGGGGTATTAGATTATATGTATTAGGTTTACCTGTATTTCTGTTATAAATAGATTATTTGTATTAGGTTTACTTGTATGTTATAGATTATATGTATTAGGTTTACTTGTACTTTATGTATTGTTTATTGTACCCTTTTTATAAAAGGATTAGTCAACCCATATATAAGGGCACTAACCCTAATTTGTAAACCCACTTTTCATTCTTCTCGGTTAATTGAAATGAGGCAGCATTCTTTTATCTCTCTTCTCTTTCTCTCTCTATACTTTCAGATCCTTTGATAGTTTACATCAAGCCATGCTCGAAAACTCACGGGGGCGAAAGGACATGCTGCAACCCAGTGGAGAGGATGACGCCAAATTCGTCATATAATCAATCGTATAGTTTGCTTCCCGGTGTACGTATTGGACATTAACATGTTTATAGTTTACATTGAATAAATGTGATTTTCCACCCGCTGGTATAACTGTTCTATTGTGTGTGATCATCTAGTGGAAGGCAAATTCTATAATAATATCTTAAAAAAATGCACTTAATTAATATTTAATAATATATCCTTCCAAAATTTAACCGTACATTCCGTTTTGCCGTCACGATTCACATTAATTGTTATCCAAATTCAAAAGATTCAGGAAAGGTACAAATTATTTTTTTCCGTTGGATGTATTCAATCTTCTTTCCCATATCATTGTGGCCACAGAACGTGAGCTTGCCGCCATTGATGAGCCAAATCTCTATCCTCGTTCTTTGCGCCCACGCTACTCTTTTTGTATTCTTCTCTTTTATAAGCAAAAGCTTATATACTTTCTAGTTCAACTTCATTTTTCTTTCAC